CTGTTCTATATATGAGGTATAGTCAGCCTTAAGTTGCTCTGGATAGAGTAAGCTTGAGTATTAACAGCACCTTAGATATTGAAATGCACTTTTATGACATCTATTAATTATATTTTGACATGTTTTTTTTCATAGGCCTGAAGTCCATTTTCTTTAACTGTTTTAAACCCATACTTTTAGACCTCATTTAGTATTTCTGAGATTCATGCATACTAAAAAACCACTTGTATGTCCATAGACAAGAGAGGACCCTTAAGGATTGGCACTTGTTTTGGTACATCATAGGTCTTTCCCAAACCTGAAGAGCAGAGAACAAAACCTCTGATCTTGTTAGCTTCATAACAGTTAAGCTAATGTGGCAGGATTCTGTAAAAGTTTTGATAGTGTTTGTTTTTAATATGCTTTTTCTGTGTTATATAGGATGGAAAAGAAAATAAAATTTTTTAATAAGTAGCAATACATGAGAGCAATTTCTCTTAGTTACCTAGTTAATGATTATTTGACCATTTGCTATTTCTGTTTTGCCCTTTCATCTGCCTCTGCAGTATTTTATTGTCTCTGCAGTGTGCGCTCTTCATTGGAAAAAAGAATTGAACCTAGTCCTGTCTACTTACCTGTTATCCCTAATTACATGTAGTCATTTAGAAATTGTTCCAAAGAAGCCTTGTTTTATATAACTAAAATTAGTACTAAAATATTACAATTTACTGAAAGATGTTCTTACATGCATATTTTAATGTCACTGTCTACATATTAGCTTCATAGAAACCAAATAACTGATTCATCTGCTCCCCCTTGTGGTAAATACTCAGGATTAGCCCATTTTTTAAATAGTTGTGAAATCTTGATAGAACTTTACCATTTAGAGGAGAGATTTGGATAGCCTGAAATAGATTTTGAAAATAATTTAGATTGGACTTTGTCTAATAATCAGCAGGATGACCAACACTGCTGAATCACAGTACATGTGAAGATTACCTGCATGTACCTGCACCGCACAGGGAGAGTATGTTTTGCCCATTTGGGGTAGGACCCACACATTTGCAGTTTTAATGAAATAAAATTTAATCTACTTTCTAAATTAAAAAATTTACAGGTTATTTTAATATGCAATCAGGGTTTTACTTTTCTACAACCAAACATTCCTATATAAGGGGAGGGGATAACATAATTTCTAATAGTTTAATACCTGCCTTGTACTTTAAACTATATGAAACACTTTTACTTAAATTACAGGGTCACCCAGGGATTGCTTTTACGTAGTAAGAATCAGTCTTCAGACAAGTAACTGACTGGTCTTAGATTATACAACAATTAAAAGGAAAAACTAGGTTTGAAAATCAATCTGATCTAAATCCTCTTTCTCACCACTCTGGTATTTCAGCCTCAGAGTCCTCAACTGAAGTGAGAGATCTTGAATTATTTTATCTTTAGAGTTCTAGTTACATAGGATGAAGTGCTTTTTGCCTGTGGTTTTGTTCTGTGAATAAGTTTTACATAAAAATACTGAAGACATAGCTGCATTCAAGTTTAGAGTGAAGCACTCAGGTTTCTTTGTTCTGTGTCAGGGAGGGCTCTCTCCAGCCATACTACATTGTCAAAACTGTTGACTGTCACATGATGTTGATGTAGTTGTAAATAAGAAATACAGTTATTGCATAAACAGTTCGTAACTAAACCTATAATTATTGACTTATGTATCAACTTTGGTTAACTGACTAATTTGTGAATAAATGAGGGTTATTAGATCCCATTACTACACAAAGAAAGAGTCTTCAGATACTATATTGGAATTTTTTTCTCTTTGTTATTAAGTAAAATGAATGGGCTTTTGCTAGTCTTAAAAATCATTTCTAGTATTATATATGATAGATATTAATAAATGTATTTATTTTAATAAACTTTGACTTCTGTGTATATTTTTTCTGTTTTCTCTTTGACATTCATTCAGCTGTTAAATATAGTAGTCAATTTAGTATTTTTTTCTTGTTAAAAATGTGTTTCAAAGATTAAATATTTCATTGAAAAATGTTTTATAATACTGGACGCTATTGAATACAAAATCAAATTTTTGCTTTACCTAACCTGTTAATAGCATCTTTCAAGTATTGTTTCATTTCTTCATTGATAACTTGTACCTTTCTATAAGATATATATAATATTACTTGTTTATTTGGACATTTATGCTCTTACTAATTTTTCACTTCTTTCAACTATCCTATTTTTTGATTGAAAAAGTTACACGTGTATAGTTAAAGCACATTTTTACCAAAAGTCTACAGTGATGAAAATGTTATTCTCCATCCTAAACCTTTCAGTCTCTTTTGTCACAAGCAGCTATGTATACTATTTTCCTGTTATTTTGTTTAATACAGATACCAAATTTGAGTTGTAATGGTCAGCATTGCACTACACTTTATGGTACAATTGATATGTTCTAGTTGTGTATCACATTTAAATAAATATAGTGACATTGTTATTTAAATTCTGCCTTTTATTGATATTTTTATTTTTCAGTGTTAACGATTTTAAATAAGTAATGGTAAAGATATATCTCCATATTACTTTAAAATTAAGCAGTTCCATCTATTTTTAAAACATACATTTTTTACACTAGATATTAATGTATCCTATATATGTATATTTGTGTAAGAAATCGTTTTTAATGAAATTATTTTTGTCTTTTATTGTTAACCATCTTGTGTCAAGGTGATATGAAAAACAAATTATTGTGAAAAACTTTAAGAATTTTTTAAAAATTTAAGTCTTAACATCTAAAAGTTAACCATTTTGTTTCTAGACAACAGAAGTAAATAAGGCCATTGAGGTCTTCAAGGAATAGCTTGTCTAGTTCCTTTTGACGTAGACTCTGAAATGCACACTGCTTTTAATAAGATAATTAGAAATAAATATATTTCTTGATTTCTTAGCACCTGTTTTACTAAGTTTGTGCCTTGAATTTTTGGATTTTTGTTGTTGTTGTTGTTAAATGTTGTTTGGTGGTACTGGAAATAAAACTCAGAAGTGCTCTGCCACCAGCCTATCTACCCCTAGTTCTTTTTATCTTTCATTTTCTAGTTCTTTTTATCTTTCATTTTGACACAGAGTCTTCAAATTTGCCCGCACTGGCCTCAAATTTGTGTTGCTTCTGCCTCAGCCTCCCCAACAGCAGAGATGACCACCTTGAGCTATCTTGCCTTAATTTGAATTTTTTAAAATGAGGAATACTATTTTATTTGATTTTTCCTAATACTCTAGGTGTTGACCCTACTAGATTTAAGTTCTCAAAGTATGCAGATTCAATATTATATTTTAAAAGTGACGCTACTGTCATCGCTGTATATTTTTCTAAGTTAAATGCTTTGGTACTTTTTTTTCTGTGTGTAGTGCTCATATTGGTACATATGATAGGCAGGTACTCTGCCACTGATGTTGACATTTTCTGAAAAATTAAATTTGGTTTTACTCAGTTTACAGTAATAAGTAATCTGAAATGATTTTTGGACTGAAGTTTTAGTTTTTAGATGTAGGCTTACCAGTTCATAAGGACCCCAAAAAGAAGCAAAACATTTAAGAATGCCTTAGTTCGTTTTAAAAAATATAAAAATATTGCAAAAGAAGTTTATTTTCTTTTTTGTGATTTGCTGAATCAGCTACTTTTTAATTTAGTATAACTTTCTGGATAAATTTTCTAGTAGAATTAGTTTTTGTTTTAAACAAAACAGAAAGCCAGGCATGCTGTTGGCACACAACTGTAATCCCAGCCCTTCTTGGAAGGCTAGAGGTTCAGAGTTTGAGCCATGCCTAGTCAACTAAGTGAGACCCTGTCTTAAAAAGTAATTAAGGGCCTGGTTCAATCCCCAGTACTGCCAAAAAGCAAATAGAATGTGATAAAGCAAATAGCAAGTTAAAGCATTACCTTTAAGTGATTTTGGCATGAAAATTCTATCTGAACAATTTAGTTAAATTTTTATAGCTGAGTATTTCCTACATCACAAACCACATCCAAGCATGATATATGATTTTGTTGTTGTTGTTGTTACTTCAAAATACTTAATGGTCATTAAAAAGAATGCCAGTATGTTCTATATTTTTAATGAAATTCAGTATGGAGCACCTCCAGAATTTTTTTGGGAAATACATTTTCTAAAAATACAGAAAATAAACACTTAGGAGACCAATCTCAAATAACAGTTAAAAAAAAAAACGAAAAGAAAATTTCACTGACTGAATTTCAGAAGTTGAGGAACTAGCATAACTAGAAGTGATGTAACTAACTTTCTTATTGGTCATGGGCAGAAAGTGCGTCCTTATGTTCTCAATGAGGTAGTATCAGAGTGAGGGAAAGCTGCCTACCCTCATCATCTAGGGAAGAAGGTTATGAGCATGAGAAAGTCTTCTTCACCTTTTCCGGGGAGGTCACTACATGGTCATGAGAAAGAACAAGTAGAGTGAAGCACTTTGGAATGTGAGAGTCAAATCAACTCTGGTCACGTTCTGCTAAACACTGGGACCTCCCAAAGGCACAAAATGGAGTCTTGGCCCTGGAGACATTTAGCAGTTACCTTCTGGAAATGGAAATATTCTGAGACTTATGTGTTATCTATGTCAGCTCATGATTTCAGGTATCTTAGAATCACGAATTTTGAGCAGACGATACCATAATAGTAATGAACTTCACGGGATATATGGTGATTCTTTTGGCAGCTGACACCCTTTGAAGGCCTCTGAGTTTCAGCTTTATGCATACCAGTATATTTTTGGTAGAAAGATCAGGTGAACTTTTGTTTTTTATTTTCTTACATTAAAGTAATATAAATTGATTTCCATTCATCTTTCAAATGTGTGGACACACACATACACACACAAATGTGTGGCCAGCAGGTGATTATTTCCAGCTCTCTTTAAATGCTCCTATGATAGATAAATGAACAGAAACTAAGAGAGCTCTATAAGGACATACTATTAATATTTTTATAAAAATGCTGCTACGATTACAGGTCCTTTTGGAATAAATCATGGAATTGAGCTTCATTCAGATGTGGTGGAATATGCCAAGGAAAAGCTGGAGAGTTTCATCAAAAATAGTGATAGCTTTGATAAGTAAGTACTCATATTTGTAGTTTTGCTTTGAAAGCACTTAATATATGTAATATTTCTGTTCCTGAACACTTAGGTTATTATTTATTGATCCTGACTTGCTGAATCGAATAGCAAAAATTAGTGTGCTATTGAGAAAAAAATTAGGAAAATTACTGTATTTTATTCCCTGTAATTTTACAGTAAATTATAAATACAATTAAAAAATGTCATGCTTTTATCACTTATTAGTAAAGTTCTGTTCATTAAACATACAAGTAACTTTTCTGGTGATAAATCATAAAGGTACTTGTGATTACAGTATTTCTTGGACCTGGTTTTAAAACTTTGGGGTAGTAATAGTTCTATTTGCAGAAATTATACAAACCATTGATGTATCTTATGTAGGATTGTGTTTGTGAAATTTGTAGAACTGTTGTTTTGAGCTCATACTCTCCTTCAAAGACGAGTTACCCAAGCTTTCGTCCTTGGGCTGGCAGGGGAGGTCTGTCTGGTGTGTAATCTTAGAAAAAAATCTGCCTAGATGGTACTGTGAAGCAAGGGCTTTCATGGTGATGCCCAAGAACTGTGAAATTGTGGAAAATATGGAGAGCTTTGACAGGTCCTGCATTTTCCTGCGTCACTTGTCATGTTTGTAAAGAGAGAAAGCCTTAGGAAGGAAACAGGCTTAGTCGCTTTATATGCAGAAACAGATTTCCAGCTTAATTTATTGAGGTGGGCCCCAATTCATCTTCAGCCCCTAACTGTGACTGACCATCAGTGTGTGAAACTTTGGGGAGACTGGGCCAGAAGTGAGTTTCCTCTAGAGAGAACTGGCTTGGAGGACAGTGTCAAAGAGAGAAACCCAGGATGTTCTGTGAACATCTTCAGGGAAGTGCACTTTCTTTTCTTCTCACTTTCTTTGTTCTTCCTTCCTCTTGTATTTATTCCTTATTGCCACTGCTAGTTTGTGTCTGTCCTCTGGTAAGTGGCCGTTGAACAGAAAACTAACATACTGTAGCAAAATCTTTAGTATTTGGAGAGAAGGCAAAGACTTGGGCCTAGATTACCTACAGTATGATTGTAATTGTGTTATTAAAGATCTCAGACAGGCTTGGGGCAGTTGAGAAATGTTCAGATTTAATTTTTTTTATAATTCAATAGATTTAAATCACTTCAACTTCATTTTCTTTATACTTGTCTTTGTAAATAACAATTTACATTCCCAATCATTTTTCAGTTGCTTACTGTGTTGGTTCATATTTTATTTCAGAAAAACACATTTAATAGAAATGAAAGTTTTTAACCTAATTTATTTGATAAGAAATTGGCATTCCATTTTAGTATTCTTTTGTGTCTCATTTCTGTCCTGTGATTACTATGATTACACAGTTATTGGAACTATGAAATTTTAAAAATTCATTGACCTATTAAGTATATGTTTTGATATTAAAATTAATACACATACAAGGGCTTTAAAAAATATATTTGAAGTTAATTAAGACCAGTAAATTCAAAAGCATAAAGTCTGTTATATAGTAAGCCAGTACATAATAGATACGGGAAGGCAGATAATTCACTTTGGGGCCATTAATCAGGTAGAAAAGACTTAAGGAAAAATTCTGAATCACTGAAGCAACTTTGTTTAAGTTTATTGCTAACAAATGGGTATAATTCTAGGAAACAAAATCATTTGTATCATTTCTACCTTGATGTAACTTAAATGCTAATCCATAACATAATTTTGAAAGCTACATAAGAGTATTTCAATTTTAAAAATTTAAAATTTGTTTTCATATAATTATAAGTAATAAAATATCTTTATCTTACATTTCTTGTTTTTGTTGTTACTGTGTTACACAGATTTGTTATTTGTAAAATAATGATTCATAAAATACAGTGATATGATTGACCTAAATGTTTCTCAAAATTTTAATGGTCTTGTTGTCTTAGTTTATAATATTAACCAGAACTTACAATACAACTTATTTTGTAACAATTTTTTTTCACAACTTAGTTTTGAAACTCTTAAACTACTCTGAAGAAGACAATTCAGGAAATTGTATTATTTTTAAAGCAGTGTTCTAAAACATTAATGGAATATATGTGAGATTTGTATACAAAGAGTATCAGGAAGTATAAGAAAATGTTTCATTTTATAGAAAGTAGTTAAGTGATTGGAAGTACTCATAGTTGTTGGATTATACAATGGGCTTTTAAAATTTTTTAAAATTGTTTTCTTAACTGAAATTATAAAGATACAGTAGGTTTCTGCATATTTTTATCATTTTTACAATTTTTCTTGATGTTGGGGGATAACATGTCTACTTGCTTTCAATTTTTAAAAAGTTTAAAAACTTGGCCAGGCTGCATGTGGTGGTACAATCCTTGTAATTCTACCACTGTGGGAGGCCGAGATGGGAGAATCATAAGTGTGAGCCCATCCTGAGCAATTTAGCAGTTCAGTGACACACTGTCTTAAAGTAAAATTATCAGGTGGGGTCATTGAGTATGTACCTCTAAGTGAAGGTCCTGAGTTCAATCCTCAGTGCCACAAAACAAAACAACCAAACAGCTTGCTGTACAAAGTGATACTAAAAATTTTCTTTCCAAGCAATGTCATTTTGTGTATAGGTCATTGCAATTCATATTTTAATTAATAAAATGTAAAGCAAAGGAGAAAAATTAATTGTTAATTGTGGTTTTATATGAGATTATCCTTGATTATATTTAACAAATAGGTAACATTTAATATTCTGCTGTTACTTATCCTGTTGATTGGGTCTTTTTTAATCACTCCTTAAAAAAAGTATTTTCATGGAACTTATGATTTAACTACACTTCTAAAATTTTCTTATGTGCATTTATTGGATATTAGAATGAACTCCCTAATAGATGGGGTAGGGTGGAGTCCATAATCTAATCAGCATTGGAACATATAATGTAAGATGACTTTCTGAAAAATACAGATGAGGATTTTGGGGTGTGTTCATTCTTATGTCCTGAAAATATTATTTCTTATTTAGATAAAGGAATCGTTATTATATAAACTTTCTATGTCCTAGTCCTGTGTCAGTAAATTAAGTAATTTGAAATGGCATGGCTACTCTTAATTTACTCTAGTTGGATTTGGGAGAAAGAACTCTTAATGTATGATTTAGTCTTTTGATATCTGTGGTGTTCCCAGATTTACTGAACTTCCCTTGTAAAAGTTATCTGATTTCAAAGGTTCTCTAAAAAATTGGCAAACTTTTCCTACAGTGGCTAATTGCAAATCTTTCAGGCTTTGTGAACTAAAAGATCTCTGTTGCAATCCTTAAAAAATGGCCACACTCACTAAGAAAATGAATGGATATTGGAGTGTTTCACTAATACTTTACTTGCACAAGCAGGGTGTAGATGGGTCTTGTCCTGCTGTCATTAGTTTGTTTACCTGGTTTGTACCTGTGGCACACACTGTCCAGAAAGTCTTTTTTAATAGTTTATTCTGATCTAGACAATTCTTTGGGTCTTATTTGCCTAGGGTTTAGAAAATTCTATATATCTGGCTTTTGTAAGGGAAGGAAGAGGTTGGAGAAAGTCAGATTATATTAGTCAATATTTGTGCATGTACAATAGTAGTATGCAAAGTAATCTTTCCAGTTATAATTACCTAGAGAGTGTGTTACTTAAAAGAGCTTGATTTGCAGACTTTCACCCTGTAAATACAGTACTTTGAAAATGAATTTAGAATATTTACTTACAGCTATATACATGTATCTATTTGATATGTATACATATATGTACTTGATTAGATTTACTTTGCGTGCTTCAAGAGAGTGCCATGTCCTTGTCAGTAGATCCTGTTCCCATTCCTTCCAAGGTGACTTTTGCTATGCATTTTGAAATGCTGTGGTATCAATAACCGGATCAGTGCTGTATAGTTTAAATTATTGGAGGTTTCTAGTCCATATGAATATAGAGGATCATTTCTATGTAGTTGACCACTTAAATAAGGCATATGAATAATGAAAACAGTATAGAGATGATAAATAGTATCTAATGTGCATTGCCTACTCATGCATAATTTTAAAGACAGTTTTGTTAAGCACATTTCCAAGATGGGAAAACCTAAAGTTAGAGGGGTTGTATCTTGAGCCAGCAAGCTTTTTGTTAGAACTGATCTGTTTCTGACCATGTAAAATATTATTCTAATATTTTTTCACAGCAATAAGCTATCAATGAATTAGTGTAGTATCTTAGGACCAGTTATAAAATTTGAAGAACTTTTATTTTCATCAGTTCCTTCAGATTAGAATTAAATGCTGTTAATATGATTAAATACATTGTAGTATTTGCATTAAAGAATCTACCTATCCTGTTCATTAAAAAGACCTATGATGTGAATTTTTTTTAGGGATGAGTGTGAGAGAAGCAATGCATTCCTCATATTTGCTATTTTTAAAAGGATGTATCAGTATCCTAATTTTAAGTTACAGATTCATTTTCCACATGTAACTTGTTTGAAAATTAATTCCTTTTATATTTTGTCAACTTTTATCACTAGAGTAACTACTTTAAGAGAATTAAGGCATACTTGCAGTATTGACATTTCTCAGATATTTGTGTAGTTTGATATTACTAATTATGTTCAGAAAGTTTTATAAGAATTGTTACAAATTGTGAACACATTTTTTAATCATGAAAGATACATATTGAGACTGAGAACCCTTCAAAATAATAGTCAGTGCTATCATATATATATACATATGTATGATGTATCTATATTAATATATATTAGCATCCATTAAGAATGACATGGGAAAAAGTTTAAAGTTCAAACACATTTTTATTATTTAAATACATGAAGGTTCACCTTTACATGACTTACATGTCACATTTTCTGTAAAATATTTAGTGATTATTTTTGTTTCTGTAGATTTCTTTTTAAAGATTTATTCAGTGAAAAATCACTGTATACTTTACTCCCAACACTTTGCTTTGGATGATGCTTGAAATCTGATATGAGTTTGATGCAGTTGAAA